AGTTCTTCCAGGCATAGAAAAAGGTTGTTTGTTTGAAATGTTTCTATCTTCTTTCGGTTGGCCTGTATTGCCATAAACTTTCTTTTCAGGACTGCCTTCACTGTGCCCCATAAGTTTTGGGTCATTGTGAGATCGTTTTCATTTGTTTCCAGGAACTTTTTTGATTTCTTCCCTAATTTTATTCTTCACCCATTCGTTGTTTAATAGCATACCATTCAGTCTCCATGATTTGGGGTGTTTTGGGTTTTTTCCTTTGGGGTCGGTTTCCAGTTTCAGTCCCTTGTGGTCAGAGAAAATGCTTGGTATGACTTCAATATTCTTGAATTTTTGAGGCTTGTTTTGTGTCCTATCATGTGGTCTGTCTTTGAGAATGTTCCATGTGCATTTGAAAAGAATGTGCATTTAGTTTCTTTGGGATGAAGGGCTCTGTATATATCAGTTAAGTCCATTTCATCAAGGGTGTTGTTTAATGCCGCAATATCTTTGTTGCTATTTTGTTTGGAATATCTGTCCATTTTTGATAGTGGGGTGTTCAAATCCCCTACTATAATTGTGTTGCTGTCAATATCTTTCTTGAAGTCCTCTAAGATTTTCTTGATATATTTGGGTGCTCCTATATTTGGTGCATATATGTTTACGATGTTAATGTCTTCTTGGTGGATTCTTCTCTGGAGTATAATGAAGTGACCTTCTGGGTCTCTCTTTATGGCCCTTTTTTTGAAGTCTATTTTGTCTGATATGAGAATTGCTACCCCAGCTTTTTTTTCTTGTCCGTTTGCTTGGAAAACTTGTTTCCAGCCTTTCACTTTTAGTCTGTGATGGTCTTTTGTCCTGAGGTGGGTCTCTTGTAGGCAGCATATATGTGGGTCATGCTTTCTTATCCATTGAGCTATTCTGTGTCTTTTGATTGGAGCATTTAATCCATTTACGTTTAAGGTTATTATTGATAGGTACTTATTCATTGCCGTTTTTGTACCTGTGTTCCTTTCTGTCTCTCTCTTTTCCTTCCTTTCCTTAAAGCAGTCCTTTTAGTATTTCTTGTAGGGCTGGCTTGGTGGCAGCAAATTCTTTTAGACTTCTTTTGTCTTGGAAGCTCTTTATTTGGCCTTCTATCTTGATTGAGAGCCTTGCTAGGTAAAGTAGCCTTGGTTGTAGGCCTCTGGTTCTCATTACTTGGAATATTTCTTGACATTCTCTTCTTGCTTGGAGTGTTTCCATTGAGAAGTCAGTAGCTAACCTTATTGGGGCTCCCTTGTATGTTACTTCTTTTTTCTCCCTTGCTGCCTTTAAGATTCTCTCTTTGTCTTGGAATTTTGCCATTTTAATGGTGATGTGTCTTGAAATGGGCCTCCTTGGGTTCCTCTTGAATGGGACTCTGTGTGATTCCTGGATTTGTGTGACTTTTTCTTTTGTCAAATTAGGGAAATTTTCTCTCATTACTCTTTCGAATATGTTTTCTATCCCTTGTTCTTCTTCTTCTCCTTCTGGTATTCCTATTATTCGGATATATATTGTCTTGCATTTCTCTTAATCCCTCTTCATTCTTTCTGAGCCCCTTTTCCCTTTCCTGTTCTTTCTGTGAGATGCTTTCTACTTTGTCCTCCAACTCACTAATCTGATCTTCTCTCTCATCTTCCCTATTTTTAATGTTTTCTACTGTGTTTTTCAATTCAGAAATTGTATTCTTCATTTCCTCTTGGCCCTTGCTAATAATTTCCATTTCCTTTTTCATGTTGATATAGTTTGCAGTGAGATCGTTATAGCTCCCCCTGTAGTTTCTGGTAGCTCATTGTGAGCTCTTTGAACTTCCTGATAACCAGTGCTTTGAATTCAGTGTCTGATAGTTGACTTGCCTCTATTTCATCTAACATTCTTTCTGAGGATTCCTCCTTTCCTTTCCTTTGGGGATTGTTTCTTTGTCTTCCCATTGTTTGTGAGACTCTTCTTGTTAGCCTCAGCTTCTTTGATTAATCTGTTTTGACTCCCTGGGTTTATGGTGTGAGCTTCTGTGGTTGAATGCCTGTGAATTTCAGTGGTGCAGTCTCTTTCGGTTATTCTGTCATTCTCTGCTTCCACCTACTCAAATATTCAGCAACTTTTGGCTTCTCTCATACAGCTAAGTGAAATTTGTCTCTCTGACTCTACTATTGGGAGGCCTCTTCTATGGGTCCAGCTCTGGTCTTTTCATATTTTCAAGTTCATTGTGACTCTTGTGGGTAAAAGAAGGAAAAGACAAGAAAGAAATAAAAGCAAGAAAAAAGGGGTAGGGGGAATGCAAGAAAGAGAAATTAGTTTAGAAAGAAAGAAAAAGGAATAAAACAGAAAATTCGAGAAAAGAGGACAAAAAATATTGAAAGATGAAACAGTAATAAAATTTAAAAGAAATAACAGATTACTTTTAAAAAGCAAAAATATAAAGAGAGTAATGGAAAAAGAAAGAAAAGTGAAAAAAAGAATAAAAATAAAATAAAATAAAGAGAAAAAAACAAAAACAGCAACAAAAAAGAAATGTCACTTGTTGGTTTCAAAGTAGCCGAACCGGTTTTTCTGGATGCAGTTGGCTGAGAGTCAATTGTTGTGATTTTTCTGCCAGCCCCTCTCAGGAGCCAGATACTTGGTGCCTCTCCCCAGCTCCCTACAATGAGGAACTAGGACTTCCTCACAGACCTCCCCTCCCAGGGGTTACTGCCATAGGCTGGTTTGCTGTGTTTGCAGGCACCTTCACACGCCTAGTTGCCTGGTTCCCTTGGGATTGAGCACAGACCTGCCCCCATTCTGTGGGGAAGCTCTGGGCCCTCTGCCCAATCTCGGTTAGCTGCCAAGCTAGGTGTGGAGCAGACCAGCCTGTTGTGTCTATTGGATTCAGAGCCCCACGCTGTACCTCTCAGTTCTCCTGGGCTGGTAACCACAGAGTCCTTGGCGGGGGCCCTTTGTCCTCAGCACCCTCTCAGCAAATTCTATCAAACAAGTCTCTCCTGGCACCCCATCTTGCTTGGCCAGAAAGGGAGGGGGTTGAGGGTCTCAGCTCTTTCCCCAGGACCCCTCAGCACTTGGGGCTTCCAGATAGTCCAAAAGGGATGGACTGGAAGCTGCAAGCTGATTTGAGGACTGGACACTGACCTAGAAACTCTGTGCGCACATCATGGCACGCTGCGTGGTGTGTACTGATCCCCCGAACTGTGCGCAGGCTGAAATCCCTTCTGCTCCTGTGCTTGTCTGGGTCCCCTGGCCAACATCAGCTGAAAAATCCTAGGGAGGGAGCAGCTCAGGGGACCAGTCTGGGCGCTGGACGTTGTCTCAGGCGCAGTCAGGCACTTGCCCATGTACACTGCATGTCAGGCGCTTGGTTCCCTGAACTGTGCACAGGCTGAAATCCCTTCCACTCCTCTTTGCCTAGGCCACTTGGCCGCCCCAGCCTTAAAATCCCAGGGAGGGGGCCGTCCGGGGGCTGAATGTTGGCCCAGGCACTGTTGGGCACTTGCTGCCGCAGGGAGCTGGTCCCCCAACCATGTACTGGCGGAGATCCCTGCTCTTCCTCTTTGCTCCATCCCGAAACTACTGTACTGCTGCTGTCTCTCTACCGTCTGGTTCCTCTGTGACCCTCAAAGTTTCTGGTCCCTTATTTTCATATATGCTTGGCAACTGCTGGCTTGCTGGCTTCTCCTCCCCAGATTTTTTTAAAATTGTTTTAAAACAGTAATTTATGGCAATTACTCCAAAAAGAGTTATATTTCCTTGCATGCATCAGAAGTTCCTTCAATGTATATACATACCTAATTTCTTGAACTTGGTTTGAAAAACAAAAACTATTGTGGATTAGTTCCTTCTTGATTATAATGAAGAAATTATGCATTCATGTTGAATACATTTTATCAAATATTATTAAAAATGAATCATATGTGCCAAGTTCAGAGTTTTGATTCTGGAGTCATAGGAATACAGATCTGGTATCAAATCTCAGCTTTTCTATTTACTGCCTTTGCGAATTTGAGCAAGTTTCTTCTTTGAACCTCATTCTCCTCATTTGCAGAGTGGAATTACAGAGTTATGTATGAAAAGTGACTGTTACATACTAGGTGATTAAAATATAAGCCCTTTCCTTATAAATATTAGACTCAGCTTTCTTATATGTAAATGAAAGTGAGGATAATCTCTTAACTATTTGAGGGTTGTTGAGAAAATTTAATATGTTAATTACATTAAAGTGCTTTGCAACCTGAGAATCACTTTACATATGTTAGGCTAATATAACTCTGGATGATGTTTCAAGGACAAGAAGAATTTGGGGCCCATTTAAATAACATTGTGTAGGTGGCCATCTATCTCACCTACATGGTTGTTTTTCATTTCCTGAATCAGTAAAATGAGGAGGATTAACCACAGTATTTAAAAAAAACCCAGGATGTAAAATACTTTAAACCTTTTGATTGGCACTATATAAATCTCACCTATTATATTTAATGCAATAGCTGTGTTAGAATAAAGAGCGTGTATTTTTGCATTTGGATATCTATTTAACTGGGCTTTAGAATCTTACGTTTCACAGCAGGAATCACTGAAAACCCCTGTGATGATTAGAATGGAAAGCTTGAAAAAAAATACTTGGTTTTGAGATAGTGAAGATTTGATTGATTCTCTGAACAATTTAGATTAAAAAAATCCCCTACTCTAGTCACCCCACCCGCTCCCACACACATAACCCTCTCAAGTAATCAAATAAATAGCTAACTGGAGAAAGTGTAGCACTTTTATTGGTTGGCTATAATTCAGTGTTCAGGAAAAAATTGCTGATGTTAGTCGAAATTAAAATAATAAAGCTCATCCAGAGAGACCATGTTTGTTCAAACACATAAGTGTTTGTTCAAAGGTCCTGGATAATTGCAAATGCTGTGAATTCAGCTATCTTTTTGCCTTTATTTTTGAAGCATTTCATATGTTCTGTAACTTACCGAACCAAGGTTTGGCAGTGTGGCACCTTGATACATGAGGATTTTATTTACAAGATTCCAACCTCAGGGGCAGGTGGGGGCTGAGTGCGCTTCTGCTCAGAGCTCTGATTTCCCATGGTACCCAGCACTTGTCTTGCTTCCCAAAAGGCAATAAGCCACAACCATGCCCAGAAGTTCCCCATATCCTTATCCTTTCTTAAGCCAGCTGGGCAACACAGGTCTCCATCTCTTCTGTAAGGTGCTATTATGGGTTTCAGAGTCACCATCCTCTTGTAGCAGCTCTCTCCTTCAGGATCTGAGGTATGTTGTTCTCAGCCTGCATGTAATGATTCAGGGAAACATGTGCCATGTTACACTGGATAGGGTGGAGTCCAGGGAGGCGCATGACCCAAAAGAGTGGCTTCTCTGTAGGCCCTTCAGAGAAGCAGAAGTCTGCATTCCCAGTCAGAGTTCAATTCCATTCCAGGCATCTCCCACAAATCCGTGTGTAGTTCGGCCTGCACAGCTCCATCAGATCTCTCTTTATACCCTTTCCTCCTGCTTCTTCTTCTCTTTCAGACCTCCTGATGGAATCCCCTTCTCTTTCAGCCTGTCCTTATTTTAAATGCTCAGCCTAGAACTTCCTATGTGATCTCTTATCAGGACCCACCTATAATGTGCTACTTTTGCTAGTCCCCCTGTATCTTTTACCTTCTTTTGGCTGTCATCTTTTTTGTTTGTTTGTTTGTTTATTTATTTATTTATTTATTTTTATTGATTATGCCATTACAGTTGTTCTATTCCCCCCTTCATTCCCCTCCACCCTATCCCCCGTCCCCACCATTGCCCCCCCTTTAGTTTACGACCATTTGTCTCAAGTTCTTTAGATTCTATATTTCCCATACTATTCTTGCCCCTCCCATCTATTTTCTATCTACTGTCTATGCTACTTGTTTTCTGTACCTTCTCCCCCCTTCTCCTTCTCCCACTCCCCTGTTGCTAACCCTCCTTGGGATCTTCCTTTCTATGTTTCCACTCCTGATCTAGCTGTCCTCTTAGTTTGCTTTTGTTTTAGGTGTGGTTGTTAATAACTGTGAGTTTGCTGTCCTTTCACTGTTCATCTTTTTTATCTTCTTTTTCTTAGATAAGTCCCTTTAACATTTCATATAATAAGGGCTTGGTGATGACGAACTCCTTGAATTTCATCTTATCTGAGAAGCGCTTTATCTGTCTTTCCATTCTATATGAAAGTTTTGCTTTAGTAAGAGCAAGAGTTCCTTATGACACAGGGACACCCACCTCCCTGCCTATATCATGAGTCACAATATGCCCTTAAAGTCATTACACATTTTGCCCAGGGCAGCAGCACTACTATTAACTTGCCATTGTTATGCAAAGTAGCTTAACTGCTGTACCATCCACTTCCCTTTTCTCCCAATCTAGGTTTGTGTGGATTTTCAGGGGAACCCCACTCTGCCCCCTGTTATACTCCCACTTCTGGTTTTTACAATAATAAATTGATATATGTGTTTATTGAGCAAAGAGTTCATCAGAAGAAAACAGCAGACTATGGAGGGCCAGGAAATGGGAAAGCACCTCTTAGAAGGTTACTAAAATAATGGAGAAATCTAATTCAGTTACCAAAGTTGCAACGGACCTATGGTAATATCTGAACCAAAGTGGTCAACCTTTCCATAGGCACTGGGTCATTCTGCAAATGGCCAAATCAGAAGAAGTGGTGGTATGTGCCTATTGTACTATTTTAAGTGCCTCATGCACTTATTTATGTCTGTGGTTCATAAATTTTATTAACAGATTTACCTGGGAACCTTATTAAAATAGCAGATTCCTGGGCTCCATCTCCAACATTCTGATTTAGTTGATCTGTAGTGGGGTCCAATTACCTGAAGTTTAAATACTTCTTAATTCTAAAGGGGTGTTTTTTGAATCACAAAAGAGAAATACTGACTATTTGATCCTATAGTCCTGAAGCTTAGCCTTTGGGAGATGAACTAATAGTTATTTTCCATATTTAACTCACTGACTAGATACAGAAGGACTAGAACATAAAGTCCTTTGATTTTTTTCACTGTTCAAGGTTTATTTTGTGTTTTAATTGGTATGACACTTGGACAGTTGGCTACATTATTTATATCTAGACTTTCTTTTTACATTATATGGCAATGTACACTAATCTGATTCATATAGTACACAAAATAAGATCCTTAAGAACCATTATGCACAAGACATGCAATATTGGATTTACACATTGCATCCTAGGATGTGATTGACTGCAGAGAAAAAAGTTGGACTAGCCAGGTTGGGTAAAGGAACCACAAGTTATATAACACACAGTGAACACATATCTAGTTTGAAGGGCAACTGTAGTATGTGCAACACTGGCAGTAGTGCCTTTGAGGAGGTGGAACTCTTTAACACTAACCAGATTAGGACTACGCAAGGTAAGCACCATCTGGCATCGGGATAGAGATGCAGGGGTTTATGAATCATTATTATTTCTACCTTTGGGAAATTGATGTTTTTAGTCATAGATCAGATAAAAGGGACAATATGCACAATTTACATCTAAAGTCCAATTGTAGCCTAGACAGCAAGGTAGCTTCTTTCTGAAGCTACACTCAAGTGTATCTGTACTCTTCTTTAAACCGGCTCTCCCTCAGGTGTCAAAGTCACCTTCACAACATCTGAGATTCCATTCTGCTCCAAGATGCAGGGAACACTAAGGAACATGTCTTCTTTTATTCCATAGAGACCCTTGATTGTGGCGGAAACTGGATGCACCCACCTAAGATTCCTCATTATATATTCTTCTGCTAAATCTGCCACAAATAATCCAATGACTGAGGATGTGTAGCCTTTCAGTTTGATCACCTCATAAGTACTGTCAACCACCTGTTTGTGAACTTGTTTCCACTCTTCCTTAGCTGCCTCGGTGCCTAAATCAGGGTGCAGAGTCTTTAGGGAGACACCAACAACATTCACTCCACTCCACACTGGCACACTCTGGTGTCCATGTTCCTTAAGGACCCACTCATGATAGCTTAATGGGTAAATTGGCAGCCTTTCACCCATTAGGCAACAGAACTGGTCTGAATCCAGATTTCAGTCACTTCCAACAGCAGAGTTTTGGGGAAAGCTGCTTATCTTCTAAAGCACATAGGTCAAGACATCCACTGAACAATAAGCAATTTGCAGTTGGTAATGTATTTTACAACATTAGGAATGATGAATTTAAAGATGTTCACATTACGATGTACCAAATTAAGATGCCTCTCTCCCTCTCGTTGATATACCCCAGCGGTGATAATAACCAGCTTGGAGTTAAGTCACATTACAGTCTCTGTCAGAGTCAATTTTGGGTGTTCTAAGGAAAAGGATGTCATGATGGAGATCCATCATCTCTCCCTTTAGTTTGTCTTCCATGACATCCACAAGAGCAAGTTCATCTGCAAAGCCCTTCATTAAGATACTGATGGCACAGGCCATGCCAACTATTTATGGATATTTGTTGGATTTAAAATCCAACAGTACCAACCCCAATGACTGTAATCTTATTCTGGGTGGTTTGTTCTTCCTTAAGAAGATTCACAACCAGCTGATTCTTAAGAGTTGCTATATTGAACTTAGAACCAAAAGGACTTGGGTGTGCACAGCTGGATCTGGACTTGGTGGCAGCTGCCCCTGGTACCTAAACTCCTTTGATTTTACTGATGCCTCCAGTTCCTTTTTGTTCCATAAACCTCCAAATACCATGATTAGTTTTGAATAAAAGTGTTGATTTTAGTTCATCTAGAGCAGCATTTTTGAATGTGTGGTGTTGGGAAAGCTGAGTCCCCAAAAGATCATTTTGTATAGACTACAAGTTCAAAATATTTTCACTATTATATAAAGATATTATAGTATCTTTATATAAAATAAAGATATTCTTACTCTCTTCTCTCATGAATGTACAACAGAGTTTTCAAGACTCTATATGATATATGATGTCATCATTTTGATGATTAACGGAATATGTGCATATATATTCCTGTGTTTTAATTTTTTTCTGTTTTAATTTATAACATGGTAAATGGTGACAGATATAAACCACCCAAACAAAAAACTCTTTGGAGTCCTGATAATTTTTAAAAGTGTAGAGTGGTCCTTCCTGGACTAAAAAATTTTAAAAGTTATATTACATTTAACCACAGTTTTAAATATATATTGGTTAGTATAAATTGAGAAAATTATTCCCAAATCTCAAGGAAATCTCAAACCTGGTTACAATATTTAAATTTTTATTTTTTGCCTCCTCTTATAAGTTCTTAAGGTAGAAATGAGTAGTGCAAGTCTACAATTATTGACTTTTTGACTATCACCTGTATTATCAATATTCTATAAGCTATTGTCAATGAGATAAAAATATATTCTGACTTAAGGGGCTTACATTCACTTAAGGAAAATAAAAATAAATCATATCAAGTCAATGTTTCATTGTTAAATGTTTACAATTATTTTTCTTAAAACAATCAAAAGTAAAGATGGTCAGCAATCTAATGATAGAGGGTTTCTTGAAAGATGTAAAGCTGGCTCTACTTTGAAAAATGAATAGAAAAAAAATGCTTTCAAATGAAGTCTATTCCTAAAAATGATTACAGATGGAATCTCCAGGGATTTGTATTCTCCTCCTTGTATCTTTCTGTATTGTTTGATTTTTTTATCAAACAACATCATTTTAGTAATCAATAACATTTTAAGACAAAAATCTATTACCTCAAAGTTTTAAGGTAATATCCAAACTATGAAGGCCTAACAGAAGCTGAAACACTAGCTACATGGTCTTAAAAATTAAGTTGGTATTGGTTTTCCAGTAGAATTACCTCAGATAATTGTGCTAGAACTTTTTTCTTATCTTTATCTTTTGGCTGAAGCTATATAAAAAATTGTTGCCAAAGGCTGGTTTAAAAATCAGATTTTCCCTGTTTTTATTCTGTGCAGCCACCTCATTTTTTTTACTCCTGTGGGTATTTTTGTTTGGTTGTTTTTTTATTTTTGTTTTTGTTCTGTTTTATGTATTTTTAACTGGCAGATTATTTTGGACCAAAGGCCATGTGCTGAGACTCAAGTGCTCTCTAGG